GGGGCGAGCGGGGGCTCCCGGACTCTCTCTCGCCAGCCGAGGGGGACAGGAAGCTGTCGGCTGAGGAGGAGGAGGCCTGGCGCATCGCCGAGATGGGCAAGCCGGTGCTGGGTGAGAACTGCCGGCTGGAAGTCATCATCGAGGAGTCCTATGACTTCAAGGCAAGGGCTCCGCTCTCCTGCGCCTGCTGCGCAGCCACCCGCTCAGCCCACGCAGCCAGGCTGCTCCCAGCCTGGGAGGGGCAGGGGGACTAGTGGTTAGAGTGGGGGCGAGCTCCATTTTAGGCTAGGGGGTGTGGTAGGGAGCAGGGGGCTGGGGGCCAGGACTCTCTGGGCTCTAGTGAGCTGAGCGGCGGGGGGGGGGGGGGTGCTAGTGGTTCCTGCAGAACAAGGGGGTCCTGCGCCCCAGTTCTCTAACTCCTGGGCCACGCTTCCTTCCCATCGGACAGCACAGAACCCAGGCGTCCTGACCGCCCATCCCCCCGTGCCTGAACCCAGGGTGAGCCAGCCCTGGCTGAGCTGGGCCAAGACCCCAGGCGTCCTCGCTGCCGGCCCCGGGGGTCCCCCAAGGCTTTAGCCTCCCACTCTCCAGGCAGCAGGGCTGCTCTCCCACTCGGTGCTCTGCTGCGTCCTACTCCCCTGGCCCTCAGGGCGGCAGCTGTTCTAGATCGACCCAGGGGTTGGCAGCACATTCCAGATCACCCCCAGACTTCTAGCCTGTGCTAGATGACCAGAGAAACCTGGATCCTTTATCCAGATGCACAGCCACTTCGAGAACACCATGCTAGAGCACCAGCCCATTCCAGACTCTAAAATGCCTGGCGATTCTAGAGCACCAGACAAACCCAGGGACACGGGTCGATTCCAGAGTGCCAGCCAGTCCCCAAACTGGTCTAGACCAGCCTAGACTGTTTAATGAGCACTCTAGAACACTGGCCAGCTCTGGAGGTAGCACCCGGAACACCGGCCAAGTCTAGAACACACTAGAACACTACTGGAGAAGACAAGCTAGTTCCAGAATGGCCCTCCAGAGCTCACAGTTCTAGAACAACAGCCCTCCAGGACACCAGCCCATTCTGAGTAGCACACTATATACAACAGCCACTTCATTCCAGGCCATCTGCTCTAGAACGCCAGCCATTTCCACCCTGGAACACCAACCCCATCTCCATCCTCTGCTTCGGACACCGGCCCATTCTAGATCTGCCTGCTGTATAGCTCCAGCCCTGTCATGGCAGACTGCTGAGCCACGCTGCTTAGCACACGTTAGATTGCCACTGCTCTGGGTCATTGACCACTGCTCTAGGTCATTCTGGATCACTGAGCTAGCTCGCCAAGCTGGTCTAGATTGCCAGGCTAGAATGCCAATGCCACTGGCACTGCCCCACGCGCACACCACCCCGTCCTACCTCGCCAGCCCAGAACACCCTGCGATTCTGGTGTGCAAATACGCACCCCCTCTTCATGCCCGTACTCGAGCACCCGCCTCTTCCAGGTGCTGACAGTAGGAAGCCCGCCCTGCTCGACGGCCAGGCTAGAATGCCAGCCTGCTTCTGCCAAGCGCGTTTGCAAGCGAAGCCCCAACAATGGAGTGTGCGGCAGGCAGAAGGCGGGCGTCACTGCAGCGAGATCCAGCCTAGGAGTCCGTGACGCTGACAATCCTCCCCCCCGAGACCATCTCAGCCAGAGGTGTTCACACGGCCGGCGCACAAGGGGAGCAGAGCTCCCTGCAGCAGCCCCCCGGCGCAGGGCACGCCTGTCCAGGGGCTGCAGGGAACAGATGGGAGCTGGCACGTCCCTAGCCCTTCCTGCCTGCCCAGGGCTGCATCAAATGGCAGAGGAGGGGCGAGCAGAGAAGGAGGGGGTAGAACTGACCTCACCCTAGTATGGGATAGCAACTGAGCCTGTGGAGTGCCTGGGTGCCAATGTGGTGACTCCTCCTTCCTTCTTTCTTTCGTCCACTCCCTGGGGACTTGGGGCACTTTTGCCCCCGGGTCCCTCCCTGCAATGCCCACCCAGCATGCGCACGAGGGAGGCTGGGGCAGCCAAGCTGCAGGGTTCAGGAGGCGCGGCAGTGGGAGTTGGGGGGTTCCCTCGAAGGGACCTGCTGCCGGGAAGGGGGAGTCACTCTTCATGGCCCGTTCCAGCCAGGAGGCTGGGAATGGAGCTGAGACCTGACAAACTCATCTCACATGGGGGGGCCACTGAGTAGACCTGGCCAGTCCCCACCTCCCCCGCCCCCGATTCGGTACCACCCTTACCGCTGGAAACTGACCGCACCCACCCCCGACAGAACACCGTGGACAAGCTGATCAAGAAAACCAACCTGGCCCTGGTGATCGGTACCCATTCCTGGAGGGAGCAGTTCCTGGACGCTATCACCGTCAGTGCAGGTGGGTGCCAGATCTGCCCCGGGCATAGCCAGCTGCACCCCAGAGGTGGCTGCATCTCCGCTCTGGGCCAGAGATCTTTGTGTCACCAGCCCCGGGCCCCTCCCTAGACCTGGCTGCATCTCCGCTCTGGGCCAGAGATCTTTGTGTCACCAGCCCCGGGCCCCTCCCTAGACCTGGCTGCATCTCCGCTCTGGGCCAGAGATCTTTGTGTCACCAGCCCCGGGCCCCTCCCTAGACCTGGCTGCATCTCCGCTCTGGGCCAGAGATCTTTGTGTCACCAGCCCCGGGCCCCTCCCTAGACCTGGCTGCATCTCCGCTCTGGGCCAGAGATCTTTGTGTCACCAGCCCCGGGCCCCTCCCTAGACCTGGCTGCATCTCCGCTCTGGGCCAGAGATCTTTGTGTCACCAGCCCCGGGCCCCTCCCTAGACCTGGCTGCATCTCCGCTCTGGGCCAGAGATCTTTGTGTCACCAGCCCCGGGCCCCTCCCTAGACCTGGCTGCATCTCCGCTCTGGGCCAGAGATCTTTGTGTCACCAGCCCCGGGCCCCTCCCTAGACCTGGCTGCATCTCCGCTCTGGGCCAGAGATCTTTGTGTCACCAGCCCCGGGCCCCTCCCTAGACCTGGCTGCATCTCCGCTCTGGGCCAGAGATCTTTGTGTCACCAGCCCCGGGCCCCTCCCTAGACCTGGCTGCATCTCCGCTCTGGGCCAGAGATCTTTGTGTCACCAGCCCCGGGCCCCTCCCTAGACCTGGCTGCATCTCCGCTCTGGGCCAGAGATCTTTGTGTCACCAGCCCCGGGCCCCTCCCTAGACCTGGCTGCATCTCCGCTCTGGGCCAGAGATCTTTGTGTCACCAGCCCCGGGCCCCTCCCTAGACCTGGCTGCATCTCCGCTCTGGGCCAGAGATCTTTGTGTCACCAGCCCCGGGCCCCTCCCTAGACCTGGCTGCATCTCCGCTCTGGGCCAGAGATCTTTGTGTAACCAGCCCCTGTCCCACCCTAGACCTGGCTGTATTTTAGTGCTGGGTGAGGATCCATGTATGAACAGCCCCCGTCCCACCCCAGAGGTGGCTGCATCTCAGTGGGGGAGGGGGCGACGCGCTGGCTGACACTGCCCCTCCCCGCCAGGCGACGAGGAGGAGGAGGAGGACGGGCGGGAGGAGAAGCTGCCGTCCTGCTTCGACTACGTCATGCACTTCCTGACGGTGTTCTGGAAGGTTCTCTTCGCCTGCGTGCCGCCCACCGAGTCCCCCGTCCCACCCCAGAGGTGGCTGCATCTCAGTGGGGGAGGGGGCGACGCGCTGGCTGACACTGCCCCTCCCCGCCAGGCGACGAGGAGGAGGAGGAGGACGGGCGGGAGGAGAAGCTGCCGTCCTGCTTCGACTACGTCATGCACTTCCTGACGGTGTTCTGGAAGGTTCTCTTCGCCTGCGTGCCGCCCACCGAGTACTGGAACGGCTGGGCCTGCTTCAGCGTCTGCATCATGGTGATCGGCCTCCTCACCGCCCTCATCGGGGACCTGGCCTCCCACTTCGGCTGCACCGTGGGCCTCAAGGACTCCGTCAACGCCGTGGTCTTCGTGGCCTTGGGCACCTCCATTCCGGGTGCGTGGCGGGGCCGGGGGCCTGAGGGCTGGGCTGCAAGGGGCGGGGCGAGGGGCGCCCCCCCCAGGCAGGGCTGGTCCCATAGACCCAGGGGGCTCAGCAGGGGGCGCCCCCCCCAGGCAGGGCTGGTCCCATAGACCCAGGGGGCTCAGCAGGGGGCGCCCCCCCCAGGCAGGGCTGGTCCCATAGACCCAGGGGGCTCAGCAGGGGGCGCCCCCCCCAGGCAGGGCTGGTCCCATAGACCCAGGGGGCTCAGCAGGGGGCGCCCCCCCCAGGCAGGGCTGGTCCCATAGACCCAGGGGGCTCAGCAGGGGGCGCCCCCCCCAGGCAGGGCTGGTCCCATAGACCCAGGGGGCTCAGCAGGGGGCGCCCCCCCCAGGCAGGGCTGGTCCCATAGACCCAGGGGGCTCAGCAGGGGGCGCCCCCCCCAGGCAGGGCTGGTCCCATAGACCCAGGGGGCTCAGCAGGGGGCGCCCCCCCCAGGCAGGGCTGGTCCCATAGACCCAGGGGGCTCAGCAGGGGGCGCCCCCCCCAGGCAGGGCTGGTCCCATAGACCCAGGGGGCTCAGCAGGGGGCGCCCCCCCCAGGCAGGGCTGGTCCCATAGACCCAGGGGGCTCAGCAGGGGGCGCCCCCCCCAGGCAGGGCTGGTCCCATAGACCCAGGGGGCTCAGCAGGGGGCGCCCCCCCCAGGCAGGGCTGGTCCCATAGACCCAGGGGGCTCAGCAGGGGGCGCCCCCCCCAGGCAGGGCTGGTCCCATAGACCCAGGGGGCTCAGCAGGGGGCGCCCCCCCCAGGCAGGGCTGGTCCCATAGACCCAGGGGGCTCAGCAGGGGGCGCCCCCCCCAGGCAGGGCTGGTCCCATAGACCCAGGGGGCTCAGCAGGGGGCGCCCCCCCCAGGCAGGGCTGGTCCCATAGACCCAGGGGGCTCAGCAGGGGGCGCCCCCCCCAGGCAGGGCTGGTCCCATAGACCCAGGGGGCTCAGCAGGGGGCGCCCCCCCCAGGCAGGGCTGGTCCCATAGACCCAGGGGGCTCAGCAGGGGGCGCCCCCCCCAGGCAGGGCTGGTCCCATAGACCCAGGGGGCTCAGCAGGGGGCGCCCCCCCCAGGCAGGGCTGGTCCCATAGACCCAGGGGGCTCAGCAGGGGGCGCCCCCCCCAGGCAGGGCTGGTCCCATAGACCCAGGGGGCTCAGCAGGGGGCGCCCCCCCCAGGCAGGGCTGGTCCCATAGACCCAGGGGGCTCAGCAGGGGGCGCCCCCCCCAGGCAGGGCTGGTCCCATAGACCCAGGGGGCTCAGCAGGGGGCGCCCCCCCCAGGCAGGGCTGGTCCCATAGACCCAGGGGGCTCAGCAGGGGGCGCCCCCCCCAGGCAGGGCTGGTCCCATAGACCCAGGGGGCTCAGCAGGGGGCGCCCCCCCCAGGCAGGGCTGGTCCCATAGACCCAGGGGGCTCAGCAGGGGGCGCCCCCCCCAGGCAGGGCTGGTCCCATAGACCCAGGGGGCTCAGCAGGGGGCGCCCCCCCCAGGCAGGGCTGGTCCCATAGACCCAGGGGGCTCAGCAGGGGGCGCCCCCCCCAGGCAGGGCTGGTCCCATAGACCCAGGGGGCTCAGCAGGGGGCGCCCCCCCCAGGCAGGGCTGGTCCCATAGACCCAGGGGGCTCAGCAGGGGGCGCCCCCCCCAGGCAGGGCTGGTCCCATAGACCCAGGGGGCTCAGCAGGGGGCGCCCCCCCCAGGCAGGGCTGGTCCCATAGACCCAGGGGGCTCAGCAGGGGGCGCCCCCCCCAGGCAGGGCTGGTCCCATAGACCCAGGGGGCTCAGCAGGGGGCGCCCCCCCCAGGCAGGGCTGGTCCCATAGACCCAGGGGGCTCAGCAGGGGGCGCCCCCCCCAGGCAGGGCTGGTCCCATAGACCCAGGGGGCTCAGCAGGGGGCGCCCCCCCCAGGCAGGGCTGGTCCCATAGACCCAGGGGGCTCAGCAGGGGGCGCCCCCCCCAGGCAGGGCTGGTCCCATAGACCCAGGGGGCTCAGCAGGGGGCGCCCCCCCCAGGCAGGGCTGGTCCCATAGACCCAGGGGGCTCAGCAGGGGGCGCCCCCCCCAGGCAGGGCTGGTCCCATAGACCCAGGGGGCTCAGCAGGGGGCGCCCCCCCCAGGCAGGGCTGGTCCCATAGACCCAGGGGGCTCAGCAGGGGGCGCCCCCCCCAGGCAGGGCTGGTCCCATAGACCCAGGGGGCTCAGCAGGGGGCGCCCCCCCCAGGCAGGGCTGGTCCCATAGACCCAGGGGGCTCAGCAGGGGGCGCCCCCCCCAGGCAGGGCTGGTCCCATAGACCCAGGGGGCTCAGCAGGGGGCGCCCCCCCCAGGCAGGGCTGGTCCCATAGACCCAGGGGGCTCAGCAGGGGGCGCCCCCCCCAGGCAGGGCTGGTCCCATAGACCCAGGGGGCTCAGCAGGGGGCGCCCCCCCCAGGCAGGGCTGGTCCCATAGACCCAGGGGGCTCAGCAGGGGGCGCCCCCCCCAGGCAGGGCTGGTCCCATAGACCCAGGGGGCTCAGCAGGGGGCGCCCCCCCCTGACTTTCCTCCCCATGGCGTTTTCATTTAGCCTGTTTTGTTCTCTGTTGTGCTCTTCTCCGTGGGTCTGGGGATGGGCTGGGTCGTCGGCAGGAGGTGATCTGGGGTAGGGCGGGGCAGAGCTAGCCCCCCCAAGCTCTGTGAGAACAGGCAGCTGGACAGGGCCTGCAGTGGAAGATCGGTGCCCCCCTGTGGGGCTGCAGGAGTCAGTCAGCCAGCCTAGTGGTGTGTGCCTGATGTACGCTGGTTTCACCCCCGAACGGCCTGACGCCTCCGGCTGCCCTGCTCCTCAGCCTGGTGTGACTCCCTGGTGCGCACACAACACATGCACACTGCACCTAGACACACACTGCACACAGACCCACACGCCACATGCACACAGACACACGACACACACTGCACAGACATACACTGCATGTACACCCAGAAACACACTGCACATGCACCCAGACTCACACGGCACATGCACACAGACACACATTGCGTGTGTACACAGACACACACTGCATAGACATACACTGCGTGTGCATGCAGACACACTGCACAGACACACACTGCACACACACACTCTGCAAGTACACATGCTCATTGCACAAAAATTCACACGTACACTGCACACACCCCGTGATCCACATACCACGCACACACACTGACATGCACACACTGCACTAACATTCATATGCATGCTGTACATCCCCCATAACCCCATTCACATTTGCACACACACACACACTATACACTCTGCAAGAACACACTTGCACGTAACACTACACACACACACACACCATTCCACATGCCCCTCGTCATGCATCTGGCCCTGCCTGGCTCACAGCACCACCCACAGCACATCCCTTTGGGCCATGGTGTGTCGTCCTTCTGGGTGTGGGGCAGGAGTGGCCCCCCCGGGTGGGGGGAGTAGGGGGAAGTCATTTCTTGCAGCACCTGGCATATGATCCAGCCACATAGCTTGTCGCTCACCATGCGGAGTAGAGGGAAGAGCAAAGTCCCAAACTGCATTAACCCCAAACCCCAGGGGTCTGGCCCCAGGGATGCCCCCCCCAAAAAAAAACCTGGCCTGGGCCATTGATGGGAGCTCTTTGCAAATGGGAACACAGGGTCCAATCCCTGGTGTCTTGCAGCACCTGGCATATGATCCAGCCACATAGCTTGTCGCTCACCATGCGGAGTAGAGGGAAGAGCAAAGTCCCAAACTGCATTAACCCCAAACCCCAGGGGTCTGGCCCCAGGGATGCCCCCCCCAAAAAAAAACCTGGCCTGGGCCATTGATGGGAGCTCTTTGCAAATGGGAACACAGGGTCCAATCCCTGGTGTGTGAGGTCAATTGGCTCTGGCGGGCGGGGGGGCGGGGAGATGGTTTT